CAGCCGTGCCTGCAGCCCTCTGATCTGCAATGGCAAAGGGAGGGGCGGGGCCACAGGCATGGCGGCACCCAGGGGACTGGGTACTGAGGTGCCTGTGGTCCCCTGATCTGAGATCAGAAAGTGAGGGGCAGGGCCACAGGCAGGGGAGATCAGGGTTGGTGCAGGGACCGCAGAGGTCATCCAGCACTCACGCCCCCAACCGGCTCTCCCTTGGAGTCCGGAGTGGAGGGCGCTCTCCCTGGGAACCTGGAAATCCACCTCCCAGGGCAACTGCGCAGAAACCAAGCCTGGTGAGCCATGGAGAGGGCGACCTACCTGGAGGCCACGCAGCTTTTATAGTTGAAGTCGCCCTGGATGGAGGACTGGGGGTAGCAGGGATCAGAGTCGGCCAAGTCAGCCATGGAACCCCGGGTCCCCGCCGAATGACTAGAGCACATGGACTTCAATGGTCCTCGGTCACTTGCTGAGCAGCAGTCAGCCTGGACCAGGAATCAAACCCAAAACCTGACAGAATGGAACCCAAACCTTTGCTGTGGCAGAGGAGCTCCGACCCACAGCAGGGGCCAGGGCACACCAGAGGGATTTTGTTGAGGGGCCCTCACAGGCAGCACCGTGAGCAGTGGGTTATAACCTTCTCCTGATACAGCAAGGTTGCAGGTTGGATCCCTGGTCAGGGCACAGACAAGAAGCAACCAAAGAGAGCATAGTAAGTGGAACAACACACTGATGTTTCTCTCGCTCCCTTCCTCTCTCTAAAATAATCAATCAATAAAAATGAAAATAAAAAATAAACCCTCTGGCCCTAACCAGTTTGGCTCAGTGGATAGAGCATCGGCCTGTGGACTGAGGGGTCCCGGGTTCAATTCTGGTCAAGGGCATATACCTTTGTTGCGGGCACATCCCCAGTAGGGGGTGTGCAGGAGGCAGCTGATTGATGTTTCTCTCTCATCGATGTTTCTCACTCTCTATCCCTCTACCTTCCTCTCTGTAAAAATCAATAAAATATATTT